CCACGGCCCCCCCGATTCCGCCCGCGGCTGAAACTGACCAGCAGCGGCTGAATAGGGGACATCTGCGGCAGAGCCAGACTATTGGAAGGGGGGGCTATGAGGGGGGTGGGGTGGCATCCCCCCCACACCACCCTAGACCTCTCATAGCCCCCCCTTCTGATAGTCCGGCATATCTGATTATCCGGCACCCCCTGGGTCCTAAAAGTGCCGAATTATTGGAAGTTTACTGTATAAAATAGTTTGTTACAAATAGCAAGGGACTGTGCATTGCCTCTTACTCTCTGGTGGTGGGGCTGTACATCCGTACTTCATATCCTTTGTTTCTCTTACAGCGAGCTCTTCTGGAGAAGAAGCAGAGGAAGAAACGTCTTGAACCCTTGATGGTGCAACCAAATCCAGAAGCAAAGCTGCGAAAATCAAAGCCCAAAGGGTGTGAGGAGCAGACTCCCTTAGTGGAGACACTCACCCCTTTTCACAGTGATGTTGTCCTGCATGGTGCGTAGTCATCCTTATCAACAGACATTGTTAATAATGCTAATTTGTTTTTACTTTTGAGGTGATCAAATTTACATTCCCTAGGGGAATGAGTGGGTGAGAAACTAAAGGGGTTAATGATTTTGTTGGGTACAAAAGAAGAGCAGCAGTACATTATTCACTTGTTTTTTGTCCCTCATCTCGCTGCAAAGCAGCATTGCGTTATTAAAAACTATCAACCAGAACTGGACTCTAGTGACAGATTAGCGAATTAGACTGGGAAAAGCCATCCACCTCTGAAAGACTTCTCCTTGGTTTTGGTAGCTCTATATGGCTGAATGGAAGTATATGTGGAACTGTTTAGTTTCCTCACTTCCTGGGAACTTTAGTTGATTTCCCAGAAATGTAGGGAGCTATAAATCTGGAGCAGGAGAAAGATTGGATGTTTCTGAAGAGGAAAAACAAAAGGAGGACAGGGCATAAATGACCAGCAGCAATATGCACTGTCTTTCAAGACAGAACTCTTAAAAATTGCTGTGACAGACTGATTCGGAAGGGGAAGGCAGTACAGAGGTTGATCAGTGAATTTAGCTTTCTTACTTTCCTCTGACTCTGCTGGTGTTTGTACACAATGGCTGTGTCTAGATTGGCCAGTTTTTCTGGGAAATTAGCCGCTTTTCCAGAAAAACTTGCCAGCTGTCTACACTGGCCGCTTGAATTTCCACAAAAGCACTGACTTCCTACTGTAAGAAATCAGTGCTTTTTGTGGAAATACTATGCTGCTCCTGTTCAGGCAAAAGTCCCTTTTGCGCAAAACGGCCAGTGTAGACAGCAGAGATTTGTTTTCCGCAAAAAAGCCCCGATCGCGAAAATGGCGATCGGGGATTTTTTGCG